GAGTTTCAAAATAACTTTGTCATATATAGTATCAGACAAAAAGAAACGTCCGGAGTTCTTCCTTTACTTTTTCTCAAAATTACAGACCCCTAACTGTGGCAATTATCGAGTTATTGAACTTACACTTACCCTTCTTTAATTGTGGCACGAACATGAGTCATGTATAACAACGCATATATCATCATCAAAAAGAAGAAAAGAAAACGAATGAAGAGAACTGATACGACAGAAATAGAACAGATGAAGGTTTACATTCATATAGATGTCATATGATAACACATTCATTAATTTTTATATTTTATTGTTAGTTTTTCGCTATTTCTAATATGAAATCTTTAGTTGAGTTGTTGTGCTTGTCTATATTTAACTAAAAAAAATCTTCTCAAAGATTACCTCTAGTAAGAGTAGTTATAGTCTTGCAAATCTAAAATTTCGATACCTTCACATTGACTCTTCAAATAACAACAATTGAAGATCATTATCCAATCGGAATCTTTTATACATTGAAGAACCATAAGTTCGAAGAGAATTTTGTATATCATTTGATTGGAAATAGAAGAAAAATTCACTGATTTTTGAATAACTTTTGATAGGAACGTTATAGGAACTTGTGGTTTTCCATTTGATTTAAAACTTTAAATAGGATTATTCGATAGAAAAATGTCTCTTCTTTTGGTCTATGTAACGCTAACTTCCTAGTTTGTTCCATTCGAAGGTTTTAAAACTTTTTCTGAGTTGCCCTATTCCACTATCAGTTTCTATGTAACGCAAGAGCTGATATTTCAAGAATACTAAGATAATAGACTCAAATCAATTCGAACTTACCAACAATTATCGTCATTTAACTCAGCATGTTAAAATCCTTCTACCCAGCTGCTATTGCAGGTGATCGTAGGTCAATTTACAGCAGCAGAGCAGTGTCGAACAATATTTTATAACTTTCGAATGAAACAAACTAAGAATGTCGACTTGACGAAGATTTACAGAGAAGCTATTTTTTCTATAGAGCAGTCCTATTGAGAGAAATAGTTTGAAAATGTCTCTTCGGAAAACGTCTTTCTTTTCCCAAAATTCACCTGATTGATCTATGAGGTTCTTATCAAAATTTATTTCAAAAAACAGTGAAGCGCATCATATTGTCAAATGAATAATATCAAAAAAGCATTAGCTTAAATATCTTTTCTTGTGTTATTGGTCGAATTTTGCTAAAACAAATTGAATTTTAATAGAAAACATTGGCGAGGCTCTGCAACTTCTGCACAAAGTCTTAATCATTCTTCATTTAAACCATACGCATCGTTGTTTGCTTTTTTTTGTGGACGTGTTATTTCGTTACTAATCAAAAATTCATTATTCACTCATTCATCATTATGTTATTTTATAATCCTATTGATAATCGAACATATACATCGCTATTTTCATTTGCTCCTGCATACTTTCATGTATAACTATATATCCTTAAAATGCTTTTGTCATACACTATTTTGTGTGCATGACAATATTACCTATACAATGCTTTGTCAATATTGACAACAAATATCAACAACACCAGGTGTTGTTGTTGATATGAAACTAGAGGATGAAGGTTAAAAAAATTATATAATATAAATAAATGAAATTTTGTTATTTCTTGTTTTTTTGTTTTTTAAGATATAAAGACAAAGTGATGGGTCTATTTAATAATATTCCAACAGATCCACCAATTGAAGTCTTTCATTTAACAGAACTTTTTAATCAAGATGCTAATCCATCAAAAGTTAATTTAACTATTGGAGTTTATCAAGATGAAAATGGTCGAACATTAACATTACCTGTTGTTCGATCGGTCGAACAACAAATGGCACAAGATTTAACTTTAACAAAAAATTATTTAAAAGGAACTGGACTTGATGCATTTTGTACAGCATGTTTAAAATTAGTTCTTGGTGAACAATCATCAGCTATTGTTGAAAATCGTGCTTGTTCCATACAATCATTAAGTGGAACAGGTGCAATTCGTATTGGTTTAGATTTTCTTTATCGAAATGGTTTTCGTACGGGCTACGTATCAACACCAACATGGGGTTAGAAAATTGAAAAGAAAGAATTATTTTAGTTGACATGTTTGTTTTTTTTTTATTTCGTATAGGTAACCATGAATCAGTTTTACAAACAGTTGGTTTCGAAGTACGTAAATATCGATATTGGAGTAAAGATAAACTTCGTCTTGATATTGATGGTCTTATTGCTGATCTTGAAGCAGCACCAGAGAAATCTGTTATTATACTTCATGCTTGTGCTGTAAGTCTACTTAAATTTGTTCTATTTTGGCGTCGAATTTCGATAAAATTTTTTATTTTTAGCACAATCCAACTGGTTGTGATCCTACACATGAACAATGGATACGTATATCGGATGTATGTAAATCTCGTCAATTACTACCATTTTTCGATATAGCTTATCAAGGTTTTTCAAGTGGTGATCTTGATCAAGATGCATGGGCAATACGTTATTTTGCTCATGAAGCTAAACATGAACTATTTGTTGCTCAATCATTTGCAAAAAATTTTAGTTTATATAATGAACGTATAGGTCATTTAATTGGTGTTTTTGAATCACGTGATATAATACCAAAATTTCGTACACAAATGGCAACAATTATTCGAAGAAATTATTCTAATCCACCAGCACATGGTGCATATATTGTTTCAACTATATTAAATAATCCGACATTATATAGTGAATGGAAAAATAATGTACGAGCGATGTATGAACGTATACATGCTATGCGACATTTATTTTATAATAAGCTTAAACAATTAGGTACACCTGGAACATGGGAACATATTATTCAACAAACAGGTAAAATTAGTTAAATATTTAAATGAAAAACAAAAATAAATAATAATTTATATATTATATATTTCTAATAAGGTATGTTTGCTTATACGGGTCTTAATCCACGTCAATGTCAAGTACTAATGCAACAACATCATATCTATATAATGAGTGATGGTCGAATTAATGTTTGTGCTATATCACCAACAAATGCTGATGAAGTTGCACAAAAATTTTATGATGTCATTACTAATGTTGCCGATGATCCCAAACTTTAATATTAAAATAATTGATTCGATAATTGACTTCTATTTTATACAATACTTTATATTGATTCATTCCATAGTTCTTTCTTTTTTTATAGATCCATCATTTGATTTACATTGTGATTTTCATTTTACTACGCTTCGGTTTTTATTTCTAAAAATACGACTTCCGAGCATGCATCATACTTCATTCATTTGCTCATAATCATAACTTATTTCTTCATAGTACTCTAATTAAGTAAAAAAGACCACAATGCATTTGCATTTTCAAATATATATATATATGTATTGCTAATAAGATTCACATGATTTTTAACTCTCACAGTTGCGTGATGTATTTATATCTATATCATTGACATTGCTCTTCTTATTGTCATGTCATTTATGCTTTGTTGATGCGAACAAGAGTGGAGAACGAAACAAAAAGATTTAATCTCTAGAGTGTCGTGCACACCCAGTATTAGAGATCAATTTTTGACAACTCACTACCACGGTATGACTTTTTTTCACCCCCTTTTCTCTTGCTCGTTCCTCTATCGACGGTGACGGCTGTTCGCGTCGTTATGATGATGGTCGCCAATGTAGTTTAGTAGTGCTAATGCAACTTTTTTTTCTCTTCTTTCCCCTCTGTCTCTGTCTCTCTTTTGCATCTCTTCTGTTGATTACTCATATATACACGCAACTGGGTCCCTTGTGTTTGCCCTTATCGTTTCTCGTTCATAATTTGGAAGAATAATACAGAAAAGAGAAAAATGGCATAGTATAGCAGAATAAGAGAACTCTTCCGGACAGTTTAGGTGAGTGGCAGTCGCTTGCATCATCAAGCGTTTTTTTTCTTCTTTTTTTTTGCATTCATGTATTTGCAGAGTTCACTTTCTCTCACTCATAGACTGTCGGTCAACATGATGAATTAGCATTCATTAATAATCATTTAGCTTCTTTTATCATGACCGTCATCATTTCTAGTTTGAAACAAATGTGTGAGTTCCAGTTAGTCATGCATTTCTTCCTTTTTCTTTTTTTTTGTATTCATGTAATGCTATTCACAAGAATGAAGACATCTAATCCAACAAGGGAATGAGACACGTTCATAGAAGAAACTAATCTTTTGTATTAGTTCTAACCATTGTCGCAAACGCCGATTACGTGAGAAGTGATGATCAAATAATGTAAACATTCTATGACGTCACTGAGAAGCGAGAGTATATGTATATACATAGCCTCAAAAAAATCGACATACACACGCACTATATTTTCTCGAGGACGAAGAGAATCAAAAACACTAAACAACAGAGGAATAGATAGATAAGAACAAAAAATAGTATAAAAGAAACGATCACGGACGTTTTTTTGCCTTATTCTATGTGTGTCTATAATCATAAAAAAAACAACAACACTTTGGTATCAACCTTAGAGCAGCAACAGACTGTATGGTTATTAATTCATGTCGCGTATACAGTCCATTGATTTTATTGCGAATAATGAAAGTGAGAGAACGAGAAGGAAAAAAAAACCGCGTAAAGAAAGAAACTGACTATTTTCGATCTAGTGTCGTGTGGGTATGTATGTGTGAATAGGAAAAAAAAAAGAAGAAAAGGAAAAAAAAGTCGCGTCTTATCGTCACAAGCAAGCCAAATTGGACTATGTCAATAGTAATAGAAAGAGAAGCGGCAGCATTAATAGTGACTGTGTATATGTTACAGGCATTGCTTTTTCGATTCAGTCAGACAGTTATGAAAAGGATGAAATACCGTTAGATGCTAAGATTAAAAAAAAAAGCAGAACCAGAGAAAGAAAAAAGTAGTGGCATCTCATGGGATCACGAGGCACATATAATGATAGATGACTTTTGATTCTAGATTTTCTTTTTTTTATTATATCTCTTTTATTTAAATAAAGACTATTTTATTACTCTTGATGATGATGCCAATTCTGGATCAGAATCCAGCTCATCACCTTCATGGTTATGGTCATCAAACATTTTATCATCAACAGCATATACCAGAACAAGGTGGTAAGATGCTATTGACACTTATCTTACCAAATGGTGTTCCATCTGTTATTAGTGTTGATGCTAAGTAATTAATTTGATTTACAAAAAGAAAAAGCATATTTCGATTTTGATTATTTTATTTATTTTCATTTTTTTTTCGTAGTACACCAATGATGGACTTGCTTGTGCAAGCTACATCATTAAATAAGCTTAATCCGAGCAGTCATTCGCTCGTTGTACTTGATTCAAATCAACATATTATTCATTTCAAGGCTAATCAAACCGTTGGACAGATTGGTATGTTGTTTTCTGCTTTCGTTGATTGTTTTTTAGATAGACTAAAATATAAAACAGTTTAAATAACAATCTTTCGTATTCTTTCAGTTCAAAGCTGTCAGTTACCACAACTCAACGGTAATTTATTTTAATCATTGCTTTTTATTTGTTTATGTCTGACTGTCTGGCTATATGTGTGTGCGTGCTGCTTATTTTATTCTTCTATCAGTTTCTTATATTGAGCGATTTATTCTTTGTTCTTTTCAGGTTCTTCAACAATTAGTCTTCTTCCTAAGGATACAACACATTCAAATCCTTTATCAAAACCTAAAACTCAACCATTTGAAGTACTTTCAAATAAATGTATTTTATTCTAATAAATAATATTTTTTTTGTTTTTTTATTTTAAAATAGATAACAGTTCGTTTACAAATTAATTTACCTGATGGACAAAAAATTTTATTACGCATTGATCCAACATTACCATTATATGAAATAAAAGAACAAATATGTAAACAAAAAAAATATACCGATTCAAATCGGTATATATTATGCTACCCAGATAGACTTAATCAACCATTATTACTTGGATTATCATTAGCTGAATATAAAACAAATATACTTACATTAGTTCGTCTTAAACAAGGTAAATAAATTTTCAAAACAAATATATATATATATATGTTGCAGGACAGATTGAAATCCAGTTCAGATTAAAATCATTACGATCTGAACTAGTACACTTTGAAATTTTCCTACTGGAGATTAAAATTATTTTAAAATAAACTAGGACAGATCAAAATGATTTTAATCTGAACTGAATTTCAATCTGTCCTGCAACATATATATATATAATATTTTAAATTTTTTATTTTATTTTTCATATAGGTCCTCAGTACAATAGAAATCAATTACAATCATTTGATCGTCTTTATCGTACACGTTCAGAAAGTCAACCACCAATAGAAACTATTCAAGAAGTTCAAAATGAACAACAAGAATTAACTAATAGCAAACAGGTAAAATTTCTTCATGTCATTTTTCTTTTCTTTTGAAAAATCATCTTAATTTATTCTTTTCTTTTTGTTTAGCGTCCAGCAAGTGTTCAATTAAATCCAACTGGTTCACCCAAACAAGGTCAAAATGTTACATCATTACCAACACGTTCTACACGACCAATAACATCTCATACATCTCTTCATGCTTATTGGAATGATCCAAATTTTGATACACAATCACAAACATCAAATACATCATCAACAACAAAAAAACGTCGTGCACCTAAACCACCTGGTTATATTAGTCCAACATTACATGAACAACAAATCATTTTATCTCCATTATCTGATCATCATCAAAGTCATGAATCATTAACAGAGAGTCTTAATGGTACACAACAAAAACGTAAAGCTCCAGTTTTGCCTATAACAACTATTCCTCAAGAAACTCAAACAAATGAAATTGTCGATGATCAACAAATACAAATCAATATTGAACAACCAAAAATTGATATAACAATGACTTCTGATGATCAACAACGTTTATTAAATATTTTAGCTGAACAAAAAACACCACCAACAGCAAAATTAGTTATAACAACACATTCAACAGATGAAAATCTTACTGAAACACATTCACCAACACCAATTTATTCTCAAATTCAAAAACCTGCTAAAGAAATTATACAAATTGAATCTCCATATTCAACAGTTCAAGCATCTTCAACACCACCCATTCCTCAACAAGATGAAATAAAAAATATTTCACCAACAAACTATTCTATTGGTGAACTAGTTCAAGCCGGTATAGCTGAACCACCACCACCAAAGTCACCTATAAAAGTATCAAAAGAATCAAAACCTTACAATGGTCTTACTAAAATTATAAATGATCATAATGAACGTGCTGAAATCTATCAAAAAAATCAGAAACAAGCAGACGATGTATCGTATTTTCGTGTTGCAAAAAGTCGTCATGGAAAATTTGAAACTGATAATCAAGGTTTTGTTAATAATTCAAATAATATTTTTGATTCAACTAATAATAAACAAGAACAACAACAACAAGAACCAAAATCTATACAAACTTCTGAAACAACAACTACAACAACAACACAAAAATCAATTCCTGTTGTTGTTCAACAACAAACAAAAGGTAAACAGGCATATGATTTATTAAAAAAATATGAAAAAGAAGAACAAAATCAACAAATACAACCAGTCGATACTGATTATTTAAAAACTACAACAAGTGATAAAGAAAAACCACCAACACCAATACAAGTTTGATTCTTTTTTTTTCTATTCTGTAAATTATATTTTTGTTTATTTTCTTAATTTAGCTTGAAGTTACCGAACGTACAACACATATTTCAGTAAATAATAGATTTTAAATATATGATTTATTTCATTTTTTGATTTATTTTTGTGAAACACGATTTAGAACGAATTTTGAAATATAGAAGTAAAAATATGTCTCAAATTAGATAAGGTCATGAAGAAAAATTTAACAACAACTAACTTCTTTTCTCTACAAATTTAAGTTCCTAGGTCAAATCCATTCTATAGCAAGATTTCATACATGAACTATTGATGACAAAGTTTTTAAGAAATCGAATACGATAATTTTTAAATCTCTGAAGATTGTTTTTATTAACAATGCCGTATTAAACATAAGGTCATAAAGTATGGAGGCATCCATCATTTTGTGCTTTTTAAAATGGTATTGTTAAAAAATTGTGTTGAAAGATCTGAAAACTATTGTGTTCAGTTTTTTAGGAATCTAGCTACATTGAAACTTGCTATAGAATGCATTTGACAGAAACATACATTGTTGTTAAACTTTATTTCATCATTTTAGAATAAAACAATGTTTTCTGTAATTAGCAAAAGCAGCTATATCGTGTTTTACATTTTAATTTCATTCAGCCTATACTAACAGCTTTTCATTTAGGTAACTGTTGAAAGTGATCGAAAACAACTAATAACTCGAGCTTCACCAGTACCACAACAAACATCAACTTCACCTTCAATTTTAGCACCGAAACCATTCGGTAAAACTATAACAGAATATCGTACGGTTAGACGAATTGGTAATGGTGGTGAAACAACAACAACAACTACTGTACGTACTGAAACAGTACCATCAACAAATATCGATAATAAACAATTAACATCAGCTGATCATGTTGATCAAACAAATTCAAATCTTACAACACAACATGAATCATTAACAGAATCAGTTCAAAAATCTGGTGGTTTAGAAAATTTAAAGAAAAACTAAATTTTTCTTCTTCTCTTTTTCTACCTAGTCACTTATTATATTAACATATAGCTTCTTTTCCGGTGCTCTTCAATGCTTAAAAACGAATTGTCCTTAGTTTATGAACAGTGGTCATCAACGAAAAATATATATGGAAAAATTTAATAATAACTTATGTACAGTTACCAAGTTTTTCTTTTCTCTTCTTTTTAATTTTCATATACACATTACTGTTGTGTTTGTTATATGTGTCTTTCTGTGTCTTCTTTTTTTTCTTTATATGTCTATATATGTTTGTGTTCTATGTAGTTGTTACAACAAGTAAGTTCGTCTATGTTTATTTGGAACTTTTTTTTTAAGCTAAAACCAAATAAAATCTCACCCGTTATTATCAATGAAGGATATAGCATTAATATAAATTTTTTCTTGGTTAAAATGAAATGATGAAGTTTGGACAACAAACATCAATAAAAGGTTTACGACGGCAGTCTCCCTACTGATAATTCAGTTTTTAATCAGAACTATGTAAATTATATAGACTCGGATGAATTATAAATACTTTGACAATAGTTTGGAAACTCTAGGAATACTGGTTTTCGAATTTTGACTTGAAACTTTGTATAGAGATAGACTTGAACGAGAATCGTTTCTTTTTTTTTGTGAACGTTTCAAGTCTTTTGATTTGCTCTTATTTTGAAATAAGAACATCAAATCTGCCGATGTTTATGATTAAGGTATATCTCTATACAACGTTTCAAGTCGAAATTCGAAGATCAGTTTTCCTCGTGTTTCTGAAGGGAACCACAGTATTGGCTTTAAAAATACCCAAAGACTGGAGAAAATCAATGAGCTAATGTTGTGAAGTATCGAATAAAGATTTTTATGAGGAATTTTCTATGTATAGTATCAATAGATTAAAGGACTCAGTTTAGTTGAGTATAGAAGAAGAAATAGTGAGTGACATATCAGTATCAATGACAAAGAAGAATTATGAATTAATATCTTCTTCATAATAATGAGATCATACATAAAGAAATGAATAAACAATATATTGAACATCCGAAACGATCCAATATTTTTCACTATGCCTTTGGTTTCTTTAATAGAATATCACAAAAACTACCGTTCAAAACAAGATAATAATCTCATATTGAGAAACAGTTTATTGATGATACGTAGTGACCTAAATCTAAATCAAACATAATTTTGATTTTTAATATCACTTCTCTGAAAATGTGTCGTCTTATTTTCTTCATAGGTGTTTTCTTTTATAAATGTCTAGTCAAACTTAATAATAGAATTTGAATATTTCAAACTTATCTCATTGATTATGACCTATATCAATATAGTGTATAGAAGCATGTCTGTCTTTGTCAATTAAATAGAAAATGATCTAATGAACCGTTTAATTTAATAAGAGATTGAAGGAAAACTCAAAAACAACTCAAACTCATTGGATTTGGTCTTGTTGATTGATTCTAGCACATAATATAACAGTGTTATCGAAATTCCACTTCTGACATTCTCTAGTTTCATTCTCCTATTTCAATTTTCTATCGACGCAAAAATGTTATGTCACGCAGCTCAGTAGATCACGGTATTTTTCTTCATTTAGACAAAAAAAACGACCCCAATAGTTTTGATGTATGTCTAATCTTGTCTGTTTTCATGATGTCTATGATAAAATATCCCCTGCTACGTATTCATATGTTTGATAAAATCAAGCAAACATCACTCAATTGTTTATGTTCAGTGTATGCTTGTTTTTTCTTATTTATACTTTGTTTTTGTATTGAACAATACACTAGTTGAACTGATTTACAAGAAAATAATATCGACGGCAAACAAACAAAAGAACAAATTAGTTTCCATTCAAAACTGTTTTGACCTCCTAATGATATTTTTTTAATCTTGCCAATTTTAATTATACCAAGTTCCGTTGACGTGATAAGCATTTAATTTGGATATCTGAGACAAAGAAAAAAAAGACGATAGACAATATTCGTAAAACATTCAGACAAGGAAAAACAATTTTATTTTTATCTTACTAAACAACACGAAACATTAGTTCTAATCATGAAAGGTGAAATATTTTATTGTTGTTTATATAAACAAAACAGTATTATTTGTATTATTTAGTTTTCATACCATCTACTAAACAAATGGCTGACTCTTGTACATCAACATATAATCTATCATCTGTAGGAACAAATGGTTAATATCAAAGAAAAATAAAAAATCGATTAAATTTGATGTTTTCATATATTTGATTTACTATTTAGATTCCTATTGTTTACCATTCTTTGATCGTATTGCTTGTTGGCCACCAACAGAACCTGGTGTCCGTCGTTATATATCTTGTCCTAGTAATGTTTTTCCAAATGCTAGTTCAGATGGTATTAGATATCTTTATCATTGAATATACTAATAAGTTTTCTTATAGCTTATGCTACACGATTATGTACAAATGAATCTCGATGGGAAGATAAAGCTCAATATGGTTTATGTATGGGATGTTCACCTGCTGAATTTTCTAATTCAGTACGTATTGATACAAAAAACATAGCCCAGATAATAGAAACGATTTCTTGTTTTCTTTTGGATTATATTTTAGAGTAGAACAAATGCATTTTCATTACCTGAAGCTTATATCGTTATGAGACGATATTTTGTTGTTTGTGCAAATGGTCTTTCTATTGTTCTTCTTGCTTGTGGTATCCTTATTTTACTTGGCAATAGGTTTGTCAATAAATATAATACTAATGCGAGTATTCTGAGGTCACCAATATTGGAGGGTGGAGGGAGGCGTCGACGAAAGATTTTTTTTAGCTTTGAGATCAGATTTTAGAAAGTTTTTTTTGGACTTGTTGATCAAATAAAATACTACAGCAAAATGAAAACTCTCTCGTATTGGGAAGTCATACTCCATTTGGAATGCTCGAGAATACTAACATTTCAATTCTTTTATTGTAGTCGTCTCCGACAATGTTCTCGGAATATCCTTCATGTTAATGTTTTTCTTGTTTTTCTCATTCGATCAGCAATTCAACTTATTGCTGAGCTTCGCATGAGTCGAGGTTATTTTGCTCACAATGTATTTGATCGAATTGATGCATGTAATCGAACAACAACTTATTTTAACGAAGATCAAGTGAGAAATTTTATACTTTCTATAAAGACAAATAAACTATTTTAGAAAATATTTTCAATACATACATAGAACTGAAAATCAAATTGTTGTTTTGTTTTTAGTTACTTGATTGTAAATTGTTCACTATTTTAATGAATTATATCAATAGTAGTGTTTCACATTGGTTTGTTTTTTGTGAAGCATTTTATTTATTTCGTCTTTTACGAGCTAAAGCATATAAAGATCGTGTTCGATGGTACATATTAACTGGTTGGTGTGAGTATTTCTTAAATTGAAAATTGTTTATTAATGTAAAAAAAAAATATCATTTTTATAGTAGCTCCACTTATTTTAACCATACTTACATATACAACACGTTTTATGAAAAAAACTGATTTATATACATGTTGGTTTGAACCATCAACTTATGATTGGATTCTTCATGGACCAAATGTTATATTACAAATTGTAAGTTTAATAAAGACAAATCTTTCTTTTTTTGACTTTTTTGTTTTTTCGTTTAGTTTAATTTTATTATATTTATTTATATATGTATATTACTTGCACGAAAACTTAATAAAACTTATCGAACAGCAGCTTTTTCCGATCAGAGACGTTTTGCTAAATATAGGTAAAATAAATTGTTTCAATAAAAAGATTAAAGGAGCAAAAATATCTGAAATTAAATTTCTTTAGTCGATTAACACGTTCGACATTAATATTATTACCTGTATTTGGTATACATTATTTTTTATTTATGTGGAATACGAAACCATTATTAATTTCAAATTTAATTCTTATTCATCTTACTGTACATACAGTTTCATTATCACTTCAAGTAATTTCAGAAAAAAAATTATTTTTTTTTTCTTGTTTTAATTTATTGTTTTCGTTTTTTGACAAGGGTTTAATTGTTGCATTAATTTATACATTAATTAATGCTGAAGTTCAACGTGAAATGTTTCGTAGTTTTGATCGATGTTTAACGAGAAATAATGCACAATGGCAACAACCAAATATATTTCGAAATTATATGAATAAATTAGATAATGATCGTTTATATTCACTTGGATATCCAGTACGATCAACACCTGTTCAATACCGTCAAAAACTACAACTAACTGGCGTGATGCAATATCATCATTGTGCTAATCATCATAGATGTAGTTTAAGTAATCCAAGTCGACAAGATTCAATAAATGCAGCAACAGCTATAGCACAAGAATTATCATTATTAAATTTAACACCAAATCATCGACAAGCATTAGTTAACATACAAAATAATCCTGTTTATTTTACGTGACAGTCAACGAAAAGAATTTTTTGTGAAACACAATCTAAAAGAAGTGTTGAAGTATGCAAGGTGAAAACTTTCACCCTCCCCCCCCCCCTCCCCTTTGAAGACTGCATGGCAGACATCGTTGATATATGATCATAGACCATATATCAATAACATCATAAGACAATTTCCCCGTACTTAGCCAGAGTAGCTACAGTGTGTTTCACATTTTAATCCCGAATGGATTCTGCTAACAACTTGTTTGAATTAAATGAGAATTCGTTTTTTTTTGTGGTGTCAATGTTGTCGTCGTGTTTGACAAAACTAAATGTAGAATTTTATTTTATTTATACCTATTAATTTTTTGTATATATTTATATATATAAACAATCCATCAGTGATTCATTTATGAATTTTGGTGTTTTGAAGGGTGCCATAAACTTATATTGTAACTAAAATGAATTATGTCATTCAATAGGGTAGAAGCATGTGGAGCGAATATTAGTATCCATTTTATTCATTCAGTTTTGTCTTGACTCTTCCTATTCTGTATTTTTATTTTCATTTTCGAAATCAATGATTATAATGATATTCATGCGAAATTTGACGAAGAAAAACCAATCCTAACATTTGAACAGTCAGATCTAACAACAGCAACAAGAACTGAAGTGATTTTTGCAGAAAAAATCTAAAAAATCGACGGAACTTGAATGCAGTGTTCTAATAAAAGAAAATCTAACATAATACTGTGATAATCATGTGAAATGAGATTTTGTTTTAAAAACTATGTAATTAACTCAGAATTTTTATTATTCGCTACTTCTTGAATATGCTACTCAAAGATACAACAATAACTCGCACATTTTGTTCTTATATATTGATTTTTATAAAACTTCCATTCTTTTGTAAATCAATTTGTTTCCATACGGTGTAAATAGTGTAATGTAAAATCATTGCAATCAAAATTTTAATATTCTTCCATAGATGCCGTCGTTCTTATATTGCTCTCTTATCAGCTAAGTAAATCATCGACTATACAAGATACATATGCAATTTTGCGAATATTCGAGAATTGAATTTTGTTAAAATTATCAATGTGGGCTCTCGATGATCTCTTGTATCGAATATTTAGATACATTTTTTGACCAATAAACAGTCATACAAGTATGTGAGGTGTTGGATGCGGATCTTATCTGCGCCCATACCGTTTACATCCACGTCCGAAGTCATGACTGTTTCTTTGACACATAGTGTGAAAATGAATATGGATGAGAAATGTTAAGAACATATGAATTGTGGACACAAAGAAACACATTTAGAAGTAGTTAAGAACTTTTTTCTTTTGTATTTTGATAACGAACTCAAGAATTTCATTTTATCTTTGCGCTTATGACAGCGTTGGCAAAAAAGTCTTCAAGAAGAAGCTTTGGTTCTTGTTGACTGGAAAAGAAGAGAGCTCTTTATCTCGCCAAATTATATGATGTGTTAGTTGCAAAAGATAACTATATACTTTCAAACTGAAGTGTATTAGTTGTTATTTCATCGGCATTTTTTCTGAATTCGATATTTATTAACTTATCAACTACTTTATTATTTAACATCCATGATTGATACACTGACTGATCAATCAGGATCCAAGTCTATGACTGTACCAACGCCAACACCAAGATACGAGAAATTTGATGTTGACGACTCCACTGAAGTAACAGTAAAGAGCGGCAAGTGTGTATAACGAAGATAAAGAAAACCATTGTTATAGAACAATGTCAATATAGAAAACTAGGTCCTCTTGTCATAACTATTATTGTCCTACTTGTGATCGCCGTTGTAGCGACCGCAGTGACTGTTCCAACCGTTCTCTTAACTCGACGGACAACACCATCCTCAACTATTTCCGTGCTTACTGATTCATCAATCGTACTGTCAACAATAGGTGTCACGTCGACAGCCACAACAACAGGGAACATTGCTTTGACAGACGCAGAAGCAACAATGGACATCGATCCGATAACTACAGCAACAACAGGCATCTCTTCGATAACTACAACAATAACAGTGGGCGCCGCTTCGACTAATACGGAAACATCAATGGAGCCCGATTCCATCGTCATTACTACTATAGCAGAGCCAACAGGTGAGATTGCAGCACAGAAGGATTCCTTCTTTATCTATCTCTTCTTAGCAACAAACACTTGCGCATCAAAGAATGGATGTGTGCTTGTGGGGTATAACTAAAAGGAAGATCCTCACTCACATTCGCATCTAATACAAATACTCCAACCACAGTCAGAGTCCCACTCTTGAAAGTGATTTATTAGGTGATGTCAATTCTTGATGTTAAGTTTTCCAAAGTATGTCAGTCATTCAAAATGAAACTTTGATATCTACATCAGTGAGTTGTTTGAAACTTGAATCAATGTTGCTCTTCATTGGATACGCTTCTTGGACATTTTTATTTTTCAATAACAGTTTATTTTTAAAAAGCTATTATTAACACAAACAAAAATATCTAACTATTATAGTAATCAGACAGAGAAATACGAGCCGTTACGGCAGGAAGGCAGTGAAAATCGACGAAGCGTACAGATAGTGTTTCTGATGGGAAAGTTTTCAAGCGTTTACAATGACTTTCGACCAATTTTTCGTTCTTCTTAGCGGGAAAATGGCCGAAAATCGTGCAAAAAATTCAGAGTCTGAAATCATTGACGTCGCTCGACATGATGAAATGCACTTCGTTAAAAGATACATATAACAAATAGTAGTTATCAAGAACTTAGAAATAGAAATTTCTCAATTATAGAACAGATATTAAAACCGCTACGATAATTTGTTGAGGAACCGAAAATTACTCATAGATTTTTCAATAGTTCGACGGTTTGTAGTAGGTCAATTGATACATTCTCTATAATACTTGTTGCGATCATAACTTCATTTTTACAGAGATCTCTACTGATCGTTATGTGAGTTCGACATATATTTTGGATAATATTCTATTATGAAGTTCGGTACTAAAGAGCGATCAAAGAATCGGTTGATCCATACGAGAGACAGAATAACTCACTCAGAATGATAAACTATATAGACTGTCCATATAGAAAGTCAGTTAACAACAATTAAAAATTATCACGCTTCTTCCCACCATAAAATAGAAAACTTCGTGTAACAGAGTGGACAGCTAGTTTTCGTCGATAAAGTCTTACAAGTTGTTGCGCTCAAATATAAGACACAATTTTCTTTCTAAAATATTACGAAACACTTCACTTTTTTATCCTGAATATATTCAAATAATTTTTCTAGGATGGCTTAACACTGGCAGCATGAATAGTGCACGGCAGTGGCACACAGCGTCCGTACTAAGAAATGGGCAAGTCTTAATTATTGGTGGATTCAATGGTAGTTCTTATCCAAATAGTGCTGAGTTGTATAATCCATCAACAGGAACTTGGACAACGACTGGTAACATGAATGGTGCTCGAGTTCAGCACACAGCATCTGTATTATCCATTGAACAAGTGTTAGTTACTGGTGGATCGAGTGGTGTTTCTCATTTAAATAGTGCTGAGCTGTATGATATATCAACGGGAACTTGGACGACAACTGGAAGCTTAAATAATGCACGACGATGGCACACTGCATCCGTATTAACAGATGGAAAAGTGTTAGTTACTGGTGGATCCAATGGTAGTTCCGATCTAAACAGTGCTGAGTTGTATGATCTATCAACAGAAACTTGGACAACGACGGGTAATATGAATAATGCTCGAGTTTATCATACCGCATCCGTATTAACAAATGGAAAAGTGTTAGTTACTGGTGGAAGAAATGGTGATTCTTACTTAAATAGTGCTGAGTTGTATGATCCATCAACAGGTACTTGGGCAACAGCTGGCAGTATGAATAATGCATCGAGTGGACACACAGCATCCATATTAACAAATGGAAAAGTCTTAGTTACTGGTGGGTCTAATGGTAGTTCTTATGTAAATACCGCTGAGCTGTATGATCCACCGACAGAAACTTGGACAACGACTGATAGTATGAATGATGCTCGAATTGATCACACAGCATCCGTATTAGCAAGTGGAAAAGTCTTAGTTACTGGTGGCGGTAATGGTACTTCTCTTCTAAATAGTGCTGAGTTGTATGATCCATCAAGTGGAACATGGACAACGACTGTTAGTATGGATGTTGCTCGAGTTTATCACACAGCGTCCGTATTAACAAATGGAAGAGTATTAGTTACTGGTGGATTCGTCGGTACTGTTCTGAATAGTTCAGCATTATATTATCCGTTTGACACAAATGAACAAGCAATAAATTCATTTTTATAGGTACCTAGAGTTTATAATTGAAACACTACTTTGATAAAGAAACCTATTGGATTAAAATAACATTAAAGTATTGCCTTGTATGGTTTTTGTTAGATTATCATACGCTAAAGAATTCCATTTAAAATGTCGAAATGATTTTGTTTCTATATATTGATTTGTTAAGCTTATTGTGATGAAAACATGTGAATTCATATGATGATTTAGACCTTTTGAAAGTATTTCATTCATTGTACAATTCATCTTTCGTACGAAAATTCTATTTTTTATATATCAGTAATCGATATCGTTTATAATACTTTGAGCTGCATTTTCTTATTGACATTTAACATTGTTCAAGTAAGTTTTCAAAAATTTTCCTTTCCTGTTGAAGAAAGATTTCAGTTATTTGTTCTTGAAGTGTGTAATATTAAGTTGTATTTGTACATTTGACTAAATGAATTGTTATTCAATTCATTTATTATTGTATACTCGGTAAAGCACAGCTATTGGCAGCGATAAGTTGTGATAAATAAATGCATCAGCTAAGAGATGATTCTTCTTAGTGATCGGTTGTATTTTACTTCAGCTTTAGACGAGTCAATGTTATGCATTTACCATGAGGAGTTGACATAGAAGTTGTACAACTTTATGCATCTTCCTAATCGAATGAACGATAAGTTGGTCAAGAATTGATCTGGTCAGTGAGAATGTCTTGCACAAAGATATGACATCCATATTAAACATGCTGTTTAAGGCTGTTTCCAAACAAAATACACGCAGCTGTCATCGTAAATGTGTTTTTATGTAAGCAGCAGTATCAATGCTGATGCATCCTTTGTAAATGCATCGTCTCATTATCTGCCGTTCAGATTAACAGTTGCAATTCTTGAATCAACGACTCAACTAAATAAAGTATTTCTTTGCGAAGATCAATCCATTTTGCAAACAGTTTCAAATAATGACTTTTACCATCAGATACATCTTGCAGAAGATAGTATGTCAGTCAAATTCGTTTTAATTCAATTTATTGATTGGTTATGATGCTTTAAAATCAAATATCAGTGTTATGTGTGGACAAAATATTCATAGAAAAAGAATAATGAAAATGAGAAAAATATGATGAATCAAACGGCAAACCATGAGAAGAAATATGAAAACTTATAGGAGCAAAATTGTTCAGTAGTTGAAATCTGAAAACTTTCAAAAAAAGGAAAATATCATCTTGAAATACATATATCGTGTGTTCCTTTTCTTCAGACATGAATATAGGTTGATGCCTAAGAAAACAGACATATCAACTGACGAGGAAGCATTGCCAACTGTCAAATCGCTTTTAAATTCGGACTGTTTCCAGAACGTAGGCCCTACTGAGATATGGAAAATACCAAAAAACTAGATCTCCTAGGCTCTTCTGGCTAGAGTTATGGGCATTTTACTGAGATTTCAGTCTCTAGCATGACACATACCAAAAAACCGAACTACCACAATTCCATCTAAGATTTTTGCCTACAGATATCTCTAGCTGTAAGTAAAGTTCTTTGAAAGTTTTAGCTCAAAGCAATGTTGCATTTATGAGATATTGAAGTTTCCAAAAACAGAAAATTCTAGCATTTCTTGTGAAATAGCAGTGATTTTGGGGAGTTGAATATCTCCCAAATGCAACATTTCTTTGAGTTGAAATTTTTTGGAAGCTCTACTTACAACTAGAGATATTTGTGGGCAAAATCTTAGACCGAAATGTTGCAGTTCGATTTCTTGGTATGTGTCATGCTAGAGTCTGAAATCTTAGTAAAATGCCTATAACTCTAGCCAGAAAAACTAAGGGGATCTAGTTTTTTGGGACTTTTCATAGCTCACTAGGGTCTACGTGTTGGAAAGAGCCCGAACTCAAAAGCAATTTTACAGTTGGCGATGTTCCCTCGTCAGTCGAATTAGTCACTTCAATGAAATTGACGCAAAAAAGGACGAACCAACCGCAACTATGAAGATGGCAGAAGCAAAAGCTCGAGTTAACATTCAATAACTACTTTATTAAAAGAAAAATAAGAAGAAGTTATCCATCAGTTAGGTACACTCTAAAAAAAAAAGGAGTTTTACCGAACCCTCCAAAAAGGTTCCGTAGATGCTTAAAAGCTTCTAAATATGTTCAAACGCTTAAATAGATGATTATCAAAATCTACGAAACCTTAAAAGGATCTGGCCGCGGGTACACCGCCGGAACCATCTTCTACGAAACCTTTTTTAAGTTCCGTAGGGCGAAAAAAAAGTTCCGTAAGAAAATACGAAACTTTTATGGTTTCGTAGTGGACCTTATGGTTTCGTCCAAAACCCTACTGCGAAACCATAAAAGTTTCGTATTTTCTTACGAAACTTTTTTTCGCCCTACGGAACTTAAAAAAGGTTTCGTAGAAGATAGTTCCGGTGGTGTACCCGCGGCCAGATCCTTTTAAGGTTTCGTAGATTTTGATAATCATCTATTTAAGCGTTTGAACATATTTAGAAGCTTTTAAGCATCTACGGAACCTTTTTGGAGGGTTCGGTAAAACTCCTTTTTTTTTTAGAGTGTATGCAGATGGCAGAAGCAAAAGCTCGAGTTAACATTCAATAGCTACTTTATTAAAAGAAAAATAAGAAGAAGATATCCATCAGTTAGGTAGCAGATTAACTTTAAACAAATCGAGCATTGCATAATTAAACAGAAGTTCGAATATTATTGAAAGTACCTGCGATGGTTTGTATAGTAGAAAATGACAGTATATTCACGGTTACACATCTGATTACAGTCTAAGTTATGTACAAAAATGGGTGTGAGTGTAGAACTTCTTTTAATACAAATTGAAATTCACACCTACGTCCTAATGATCTTTAGCGTTCCTCTTCTCAGTTCAACTGTCTGGACCTCTTTGGGCAGCCGTAAAAACCTCGACTTAAACTTACACTCATTGTTTTCTGAAAAATTATATAAGAGTTCTACAATAAACGAAATATTTTTTTATAAGATCTGACAACAATGATGAAAAGCAATCAAAATAATTCATTATTTTCAGTTTTGCTTTATTCAACTAGCAAGTAAAAATGATTTCGAAGTGATCAAAGTTTTGTTGTAAGCTAAATGTAATCTGAAAAAATAACAATCAGCCATTAAAAATAAACAGTTCTACTTCAAATGAAAGAAAGACAACAAGATTCAATCTGTTTCATAGTGAATCCACTCCATAAGAAGGTTTCATTAATGTTATTTCAATGTCTGATTTGTTTTATTTTGAGAAATGAATAAACATCAAAAGAAAAATTTGCTTTTTTTTCAACTTCAAAGGTAAATTCAGTTGGTATTTTATTAGGCAGTAGAAGAAAAAGAAATTCATTTTGAATACTTTTTTCGCTTGCTCATTGAGAAGAAATTATGCTATTTGTAGTAGTTTTGTTTTTCAATGTTTTCATTTTATGTGTACAAGGTTTGCTGATTTTTTACTTCTAATTTCAGCCTTTCATAGTATAAGTAATGTTTAGGTCAGACTACATCAGAATCTAATGACTATTGTTATGAAAATAATGATGTTATCCAATTTACATTGTCCTTGTCATATCATTCTGCATGGCAACCAACATTCAATTGTTCTTTACAACAGTGTCACGTAAACACCAATTACAATAACACCTGCCGTTCGTCATCAACACGTTGCTTTGATTATCGTACATTTAACAATACTAGTTATTGTGCACCCGGTGCTCTATGTTCTATTTTGGAAGCATGTAACAATATTACTAATATGTGTGCATCAAATACTTCCGTATGTGTTGTTAATTCGTGTTGCTCACCACAAGCAGTATGCTTACCATTATCATTGATAAATATCTGTACAACAGGTAGAAACACACTGTACTCAAACATGTGAGGGTGTAGGAACTAATCAAAGTACTGAATCTAGATTCTAGTTGAGACTTCATTCGATTTTATAATTTTATGATTGAATGAGTTGTATCATACAGTGACAAGAGCATGAAAAATAGATAAACATAAATTCGAGGGATTAAATTAAAGATGAGATTAGAATGAAAATGAGATGGATAATTGAAACAGACTGAAATTTGACATATAATTAGAAAATAAGACACTAATGTGATACTGTACCTCAATCAACTAGTACGGAAGTGATTGATTCTATTACAGTTTAAAGATTTGTTTTTCGTTTTTGTTTTAGTAAAAGGTTATTAATAAAGTTCTCATTGAAATTAAATATGAGCAACTCACAGAACTTGTTTATTTTATAGAATTAATGGTTTGTATAATTAAAGCAATATGTGAGACAACATTTTTTGAGACTTCTGCATTGTTCAACCAATAGACATCTTTATTGTTCAAAATGGTAAATGAAACTAGTTTCCTTAACACAGCCGAATGTATTATTTACATTAGATGCATTCATGTTTCTGACTTGGGACGATTTAATTAGGTGTAATCTTCATATATGTGAGCAATAATAACTTGAGAGATATTAAATTATATCGCTGGTGATAGTTCCTTTGTTTTCGAAGTAATGTTTACTGATAATCTTGTAGACTCTATCTTCCTGATATCTTTATTGAATTTGATTATAATCCGAGTTGTTTGAAGATAGCATTCTGTAGTAATAATGATTTAGTACAGGTAAAGAAAAATTATATACGAGTACTCAATCGAATATCTCGTTTACACTACTAAGCATTTTGCGTCCATTTAAATATACTCTTATTGAAAAGTGATTTATTCGACTTTGTCATTTATTCATGTTATGTTTTTCTAACTATGTAAATCATTCAAAATAAAATTTAAAAGAAACATACGTGTTGACTTGAGTTGGTTTGAGAGATACGTTCACATCTGTCCTTTACATACCAGCAGTTACTTTGCATCCATCCATCTTGATCTGTAATATTATTAAGTTAACTTTGATATCTGTATCAGCTACTAGGCTGATACTTGAATTGATTTTGTTCTTCAGTGGATACATCTCTTGAACTTTTTTTCAATGATGGTTTACTGTTAGTAAGTTATGATCAACAGTTAACGAAACATCTGCTTCTTAGAGTGCCTAGTTCACAAAATACTTAGGAGTCAGATGGAGGAGAAAGACATTAGAAATCGGTGAGACTTAGGGAAAGTATTTCCAGCTAACTTCTTGTTTTACCTCGACTGGAAACAGCCGCAAACTAACGACCCAGACTACTGTGTTCAAGTTTCATCGGTTTTCGATGTATTTCTGCTCGATGTAATGAATTTTCTGCTTTTTTTCTGATCGGTTCTTTATCTTGATAATAGAATGACTAATTCAAAGTGAAAATCTTCATCGACTATCTGTCTGAAAAGTTTATGATCGACAATGGCAATCGCATACCTTTCTCTACAACATGATACAGAATTTTGTACGACAAAGTTGATACCTTCTTTTAGTCTATGCAGTGATAAGAATTTTTCCGCTTACAGTAAACAACAATTTTCATTTTGCAATATTTTAAAACACTTCACCTAGATACAGTCAATCTTATGTGTTCGATGATACTCCTCTTTTCAGCCTGAATATATTCAAATGGTTCTTCTAGGATGGCTCAACACTGGTAGCATGAATGTTGGACGATATGGTCATACAGTATCCGTCTTAATAAATGGAAACGTATTAGTTACTGGTGGATATAATGGCATTTTTCTAAATCATTCTGAGTTGTATGATCCATCAACAGAAACTTGGACAGTGACTGGTAATATGCATAATGAACGATATTTCCACACAGCATCCGTATTAAGAAATGGACAAGTGTTAGTTACTGGTGGAGTTAATAGTGCTTCTTTTCTAAACAGTGCTGAATTGTACAATTCATCAACAGACACTTGGACAACCACTGGTAGTATGAGTAATCTACGACGATCTCACACAGCATCTTTACTACCCAATGGAAAAGTCTTGGTTACAGGTGGATGGAACGGTACTTCTATTCTAAATAGTGTTGAATTGTATGATCCATCAACAGGCATTTGGACAACGACTAGTAGTATTAATACTGGACGATATTGGCATACAGAATCTGTATTAACAAATGGGAAAGTGTTAGTTACTGGTGGATCAGATAATAGGGTCTCTTTAAATAGTGCTGAATTGTATGATTTATCGACAGGCACTTGGACAACAACCGGTAGTATGAATATTACACGATTTCTACACACAGCATCTTTATTAACAAATGGAAAAGTATTAGTTACTGGTGGATATAATGGCATTTCTCTAAGTCATTCTGAGTTGTATGATCCATCAACAGGAACTTGGACAACCACTGGTAGTATGAATAATGCACGATATGAACATACGGCATCCGTATTAACAAATGGAAAAGTATTGGTTTCTGGTGGTTTTAATGGTAGTTCTTATTTAAATAGTGCTGAGTTGTATGATCTATCGACAGGAACTTGGGCAATGACTGGTAGTATGAACACTGCCCGAAATATGCATACAGCATCCGTATTAACAAATGGAAACGTGTTAGTTACCGGTGGGTCCTCGGGTGCTCCTCTAAATAGCTCAGAATTATATTAATCATTTCGAACAAATGAACAATCAATAGTTTTATTTTTATAAGTATATGAAATCTTGCATTCAACCACTAGTTTGATAAAGAGAGTTGTTGGATTTCAATAACAATGAATTGTTTCCTTGGCATGTTAGCCTTATTGTAAGTGAAAACATGTCAGTGCATGTGAGATTTTTGATCTTCTGAAAATGTTTGAATAAATTTCTAATTCATCTTCAGTATAAAAATTCGTAATCTTTTATATCATTAATCAATGCCCTATCAATATTTTGTTATACATCGACAGACTAACCTTTGAACTTGTTCATATAAACTTTTAAGGATCCGCCATTCCTCTTGTGGAGAGATAGTAGTATCTTATCTCAAATGAGTGTAATGGTCAGTGATATTTCTCATTCGGATCAGTGAATTTTTATGTAGTCTATTTTCTACTGCTTTTCTTGGTAAATTGCAGCTATCTGAAAGAGTACTTGTGATAAAAACAGTGTAAGTGTGTGTTTAGGTTGGGGAGTGTGGCCGCGAGTGTGGATGTGGTTGTCAAGTGTGTCTGTCAGTATGTTGGTATTCGGGTGTAGTTGTCAGGACCATTGCAGTCATGTGGTTCAAGAGAAAAAGCCTTAACATTTACAGTTGCATAGAGTGTGTGATTTACTTGAACAGTGTCATCATAAACTCCTAGATGAAATAAGAGACACATGTGACTTTATAATACAGTGTAACGAAACATGTTCGCCTTTCTAATCCTGTCTTTCATTTGATTTTTTGATGCATGTGCTGCAGTACGATATTCGAAGCGCTCAGCACTATTTATTTTTTAAATAAAATCGAACAAAAAATGCCAGTGTAGTCATCTCTGAATTTCGCCTTTAAATATTATTTTATTAAGAATATAAGCATAGTTCCAACGACTTCAACAAGAAGACGATTGGTGAAAAGCAAAGATTTAGACTAGCAGATTGAACATGTTCTTGCGGTGAAGTGTAAGATCGATTTTTTTCGATTGATTGACGCCCACTCATATAGAATTGCCTTCTTCTCATTGGTTTTTGATGCAGTGTGCTCTATTTATTTTTCTTAGCTTAAATGAATTCAGATTTTTCGTTATTTCACTCACAATCTTCATTCAACCACTGCTTGTATTCTTATTGTTTTTGGACTTCGTCTTTGACAACAAGAAGGAAAGATGAAACTTAAGTAGAACGAACAGAAACTTGGAATCATAGTGAAGGTTGTTCAGATTATAGGATGCGAAGCGCATATGATCTCTTAGAGAATCAGTATGATAGGAAACTTTGTCTCGAGATTGAATCCATCAGTTAGAAAAATATAAAACAGTTCTGACGTTTTTTATAATCTTAATCATGACCAATGTTCTTATTTTCTATTTTTCTTTTCTCCATTCTTCTATCTAATTTTATTGGTTGGTAGAAGGCCACTATTGCTCAGCATGTAAAATCCAAACTGCAGAGGACGATTGAAAATAACAAGCACAAATGAGCAATCTCACAAAAAAGAATAAAATTTGAGATAAAGTGTCGCTTGGCTAAAACCCAGCAACTTTCAAACAGCAATTGATATATAATACACTGCATCATTTACCAAATCAAAACAATCATCAAAAGCTGAAGACGGAATTTGAGGGTAAGTAAACCACCCGCATCATTGGTTTTTTCTTCACTCTGCTGTGAAAGATAGGTAATGTTTACATTTTCAAGCCGAAAGCATACCGATGATTAAATTCATCAAAGGAAACGATAGAAATTTTGATAAACAAAGGCGATATCTATTGTCTTTTTGTTGCATAGAACTCTGCACATTAGAATGAAGCACTAATCACAAGGAACAAAAATAGAGAAATTAGAAACAAGCATAGAAAATAAAGACCATTAAAGTGAAAAAACTAATGCACTCAGTAAAGAACACGTTCTTTCGACAAAAAATGTGTTTCTCCATTTCCATGAAACAGAAGTTAAATAAGAAGAGAAAATCTATATTTAAAGACGCTCAATCAAAGAATCACAAATATCGAAATCATTCTGGTAAACTGTTTTCGAAGTTGTCCCTATGGGAATTTAGACATTTCTATATCATAGAATAATCCAAAGTATTATGGTCTAAAGATCTACTCCTGCTCTGCTAGGATGGACTTATCTGAGGCATTCCCTAAAAATACCTACAAAACAGTCAAAAATTGACCTATCACTTTTTATGAATTTTTCCCGTACTATTTCTTCACTATTCAAGCTGATTTATATACAAATCAATAGAGCTTGGCTTGCTCCACATAACGGTAAATACGACATATCTCTCTACTCTTAAAACAAAGCCTAGGCTGTGATAGTGGTTGTGGGTCTTCTTTTCACACACCTAATATCTATACTCAGACTTAAACCGTAAGTCAGGACTATGATTGATTTGTTTGGTTTTTACTTGAGATGAATCACGTTTAGTGACTTTGATTATATTTCAATTCTTGCCTCTGATCACTTGCTTGATTCATTCGTTCGTACGACCGTGAGTATTGTAATTACAATGATTTGTATGACAAATGCTACTCCTACAGTAAGACTATCAACGAAGAAAACCTTTTCTATTTCTTGTCGTATCTTTTATACATGAATGGTAGCAAAATACATCATAATACATCTACTTCACCGCTTGATCATGATCTAGCCAACTGATAAGGTTGAAAAATCTGGATTAATAGTATGCAATATGTAAACAGCATCCCAAAAAGTACGAAGGCGCCATTCATCGAAAGAAACTATTAGCACCACTTTTTCTGTTATTCTAAACAAGTTGAAGTAAAATGACTTCATTTTCGAGTCATTTGCACTTTTCCTCTAAACTTAATTTTTTGGTCGAGTTGCAAATTCTTTGGTTTGAGGTATCTTGCATGATCAGAAAGGTAAATTTTTAGTAGAAGTTTCGATGATCTGAAAACCAACTGATTGAATAGACATACATTTTATAACAGAAAAGTGAGTGATACTGAATGGTAGTGGACGAGTGGGATAAGCATTCAGTATAATTTTTGCGATGCTAACCACAGATTGAGTTGCAGTGGACCTAAGTGAGCACAGATTTTTGAGTCCCATCAAGTCAGTTTCATAGCTGTTCCTAATATTCTCTACATATTTTGATGAGAAAAAATATTGCGCTTCAACAAGAGGCAACTGTATACCACAAATGGTCCTTATATACCATCATGATAAAAAGTTTGAAAATATTGATCCTTTTTCAAGCGAAGCTGGGGTTTCGATCATCAATCGAGATATATTCAAAGTTGTCAGTCGTAAGAAAGCTGTTTAGGAGTACTGCTTAACATATCATTATTCCGTTCAATAAAGAACGTTTACGTAGTATGGACTCCTAACAACATTATTGCATATACAGCAGAATTTCTTCTGTCAAAATCTCAACTGTAAGCAATTGAGTTGGTCTGAAGCTAGTACAACTAAAAACTCATATAAGAGAAGAAAAATGTAATCTAATCGGTTAGACAAATACGAGTTGATAAGAATGCATATTCTATGTTAATGTTTTTTGAACCCTTTGAAGTCTATTCTTTTCATCCAATGAAATTGTCATAAGTTGAAGCAATGCTTCGAACGTTGCATATGAAGCAATTGAGAAATTGATCAGTCTATTATCATTGCACACAAGAGAAACGGAACGTGATACAGCTTCGAAAGATGGATGCTTGGCGAGCAAGAGGAAGTATACGTATGAAAACTTCGGCCTATCTGAGAAACTTCTAATAGTGTTTTTGGAATTGGAAGATGTCATTTCGCTTCTTGGTTTGTTTCACTTCATGCTTTTTGAGAGTAATGCATTCGTCGTCACGGTGAATAGTATAGTTATGTATGGGAAAGCTGATGCTTCGGAAGTTCCTGTTGCAAATCGAACCATTCTAGAGAAAATTGTGAGAGACTTTCCAGTTTTCGATAAAGATGAGAAGAGCGATATCTAATGTTTAAGAAGGAGTTTGAGAGAACGCGCAAACGTAGAAGCAGTTAATTTGAATTTGTAGTATTTGATTAATAATGACGGATGAGAATCAAGCGAGAACTCGAACGTAGGTTATTACAGTCGTTTCGTCTCCCTAACAAAGTTGACTTTTTCATTTTCAAGTTTCAGTAAGATATGTTACCTGATGATAGTCCAGAAGTTAGTTTTTGTTTTGTGATTTCTCACGAGGATCTCTGTGGAATTTTTTTCATTGATTTCGTTCAAATATGTATTAATTGATAGCTTGAAATTGCACTGATTAGCAGCTCCGATCAAGTAAGTAGTCGATGCCTTCCAATAAAGAAGAAGAATTATGCTTCTTTACATTTTCATTTGATTTTATATCCTTGCTTGTTACCGATATATCGTGTTCACCGATTATTCTAATGTCTTTTAAAGGAGGTTTGTAACAGCTTCAACACCAAGGGTTCTGAAAGATGAACTGTAGAAGATCTTTGTTAGCAAGATCGACAATAGAAATAAGGATTGAAGGTAAAAAGTCTATTTTCGTTCATCTCCTACAACTGTGAGTTTCGAAATCTTCTGATGGAAGACTGGAAGCAATATGATAATTAGAATGAACAGATCATTTTCAATAGTTTACGGTATGGTGGATTGCAAACATCAAAAAGTGGCTGATTCAATGTTGTTGAAAGTTCTTTAGATAACTTTTCCGAATCTCACAGGTGTCAATGGAATGAGGATGCATCATCCTGTTCAGCTTGTAAAAACCTTTTTCTTAAGGGGGGCCCCTCCCTTAGAAAATCGAGTTTTTCAGGGAAATATCGAAGTTGAGATTTTATTATAGGAAGATGCAGCGAAGCTTCCTCTATCAGAATATCTATAGAGTTTTTGAAAATGATCAGATTTTCAAAGACTTACCACATGAAACTTAAAATCTACTACCATGTTTTCGGAGAAATTTTCGTAGTTTTAAAGGTTTTCAGTTTTAGAAAATTTGCGTTCGGAATATTTTTATATATTAAGTGGCATG